TACGGTGAAGGAAAACAAAACATCGTGAGGAAACCTGGACTTATTATTTCTAATTATAAGTTTGAAATGCTCAAACCTTCTCCGTGTGAGAAGAGGCCTTTGCTCAGCAGTGGGCACTTATAGGCTGATGATGCGTGATGTGTGAAAGGCTGGATAAGTGGGAAACAAGATACGAACTTTCCTATCTTGTAAAAATATGTAGATGTCACATTTTATACATCGTGTATCGTGCGATTTGAACTCAATTTTATTATCATCACAATACCTGACTCCGCGCTACAAATAACCAATGAAAATCGTTAATTTAATTATAATGTTTATTTTAAAGATTTAGCGCTAATGTATGCTAATATAAAGTTTTTCCCGTTAGACATTGTGTGGGTATAACAGTATTGACCAGTGGACCTATCGATAGATGACAAGTCTGAAATGTCTTAGATAATAATAATATGTAGGTTTATTATCCGATTTTAACCTGTCGATCGATGTGTCAGTAAAAGTCTGACACTCCCTCCCGCCCGGCCCTGGGCGGGAGAAGTCATTTGATGATTTTCCCCTCACAAAAACAAAAAACCTTATGTGTCTTTATGTAGGTCTTATGGATATACTTATTATAGCTAGCATTTTAGAAGTGCCCACTGCTGAACAAAGGCCTCTTCTCACACGGAGAAGGTTTAAGTTATCATCACGACGCTTATGATTTGAAATTATAAGTCTAAGTTCCTTCACCGTATGTCAGTGATGTCTAAGAAATCATGGAAAGGAAATATAACTAAATAAAAAACTGCATTAATGGAATTAAATCGAGTCTGTAATCATTTTACCATTATTTGAGCTTGTTTTGAACTTATATTTCGATTATTATAAACTAATAATATATTATGTACAATCATTATGAGATTTAAATTTTAATATAACGAGTCTAGCCTATTATATATGAAGCAGATATTTATCTAGATAATTTAGGTAGGTACTAGGTTTAATGACGATACCTAAGTACGTGTGTCGCCTGGACAGTCAAGCTCGCTACATCCTTGTTGACTGGACATCTACACTACATGAGCTGCTGTTTACATGTGAACATTAGCTCATGACGATACCTAAGTACGTGTGTCGCCTGGAAAGTCAACCTCGCTACATCCTTGTTGGCTGGACATCTACACTACATGAGCTGCTGTTTACATGTGAACATTAGTTCATGACGATACCTAAGTACGTGTGTCGCCTGGACAGTCAACCTCGCTACATCCTTGTTGACTGGACATCTACACTACATGAGCTGCTGTTTACATGTGAACATTAGCTCATGACGATACCTAAGTACGTGTGTCGCCTGGACAGTCAACCTCGCTACATCCTTGTTGACTGGACATGTACACTACATGAGCTGCTGTTTACATGTGAACATTAGCTCATGACGATACCTAAGTACGTGTGTCGCCTGGACAGTCAACCTCGCTACATCCTTGTTGACTGGACATGTACACTACATGAGCTGCTGTTTACATGTGAACATTAGCTCATGACGATACCTAAGTACGTGTGTCGCCTGGACAGTCAACCTCGCTACATCCTTGTTGACTGGACATCTACACTACATGAGCTGCTGTTTACATGTGAACATTAGCTCATGACGATACCTAAGTACGTGTGTCGCCTGGACGGTCAACCTCGCTACATCCTTGTTGACTGGACATCTACACTACATGAGCTGCTGTTTACATGTGAACATTACAGAAGTCATTCAATGACTTCTCACACCGAGAATGGGGCGAGACGGAGTGTCAGACTCTTACTGACCTCCCCCCCTTTCCCTCTTCTACTCCAGGCCAAGGCTGCAGTGCGTTTGCACTATCCCTATCGTCCTTGTGGAGTTTAGTACCCATCTGTGGTACTTTCGGCTCTCTCATGTCTGGGTCTGGTCGGGCGGGGACCCGGTGATCGGAGATCGTCGCTCGACCTTACACTACACGAGCTGCTGTTTTCTAAAAACTTCATCTTTAAAACTTGTTTAGATTGTAAATGACAAACATGTGCTCGCTGACGTCAATCCTACGTCGACTGTGTCAATAAAAGAATCATGGCGGACTTGCTAAATAGTATTCGTGGGTAAATTTACAAAAACTAGTCACGTAGGTAATGTCAGAAAGCGAAAATTTTACACGTAAAAAAATGTAGCATGGAGTTTCTTGCTCGTTCTTCTCTTTTTATTTATTTGTAGCTTGTGCGCGACTCCGTTCGCGTGGAAAAATGACTTTTTTATGTTATAGGTCGGCAAACTAGCTGACGGATTACCTGATGGTAAGCAATCAGCGCCGCTCATGGACACCCGCAACGGAGGAGTTACGAGTGCGTTGCCGACATTTTAGGGATTAGGGATTTGGAGTTTTAGGGATTGGGGAAGGGTCCGGGAAGGGGAAGGATTGGGCCTCTGGTAACCTCACTCACACGGCGAAACACAACGCTGTGGTTGTTTAACGCCGGTTTTCTGTGAGGCCGTTGTATCACTCCGGTCGAGCCGACCCATTCGTGCCGAAGCATGGCTCTCCCACACTTGAAAACCCCACTCCTTTCGCGTGGAATAGTGACTTGCTGCAGATTTTTGTTTCAAAATTATCTTATGTCCTTTCTCGAGTTCCAAAACTATGTGTGTACCAAATTTTTCAGTAGTTTATTGAAACAACAGTTGCTGTTGCTGTAAGTTTTCCTCAAAATTCAATGTTTATTTTATTTCAATCAACTCTGTCTATATGTCTGTCTCTGCTTTATACCTTAAGTACTGAACCAATTTGGATAAAATTTTGTACAGACATAGTTTGAAACTAGGGAAAGGACATAGGATAGCTTATATCCCGAGAATTCAAAAGGAGAACTTGCCTATTCCCGTTCCCTACGAGATCGGGAACTATGTTGGTAGAACCAAAAATCTTAACCCAAAAATCTGCCAGAAATCACTATTTCACGCGGACGGAGTCGCTGACAGAAGCTAGTCTAATATATAAGTAGTAAAACCTTGCTCTTTGAACCCAATTAAATAAAAACTATGGTTCAAGTTACACCGCGTCTACACTAAGCCTTGTTAACTGCGAATTCTTCAGTTAAAATTAACATTATATGATTGTGGTTATAACTAATTTTGAAAAGTTATCTATGATAATAATTATAATTTGACTGCACGCTTGGTGCGCTGGCTGGACAACTGGTTGCCGTGCAACGTGTCGCGGTTTCGCATTCGCACACGGAACAACACTTTGTGTGATCCACAAATTGTTGTTTCGGGTCTGGGTGTGATGTGTATGTGACATTGTATGTTTCACAACACAGGAGAAAATCCTAAAGTGGGGCAATGTTTTTTTTTTTTTTTAAATCCTCAAGGGAAATCGTCGTTGGTTTCGGATTTCATAGGCAGAATTGTCGATTCACACGGGTGCAATGCTGAAACTAAATTTCTCCACTATTTAATGGATGTTATGATACATATAAACCTTCCTCTTCAATCACTCTATCTATTAAATAAACCGCATCAAAACCCGTTGTGTAGTTTTAAAGATGAAAGGAAAGAAAAGTAAAGGACAAATTTATTTTATACTGGCTTTTGCCCGCGACTTTGTTCGCGTGGAATAGTGATTTCTACCAAATATCACAGAAATCGGTTCAGTAGTTTAGACGTGAAGGAAAGACAGACAGACAGAGTTACTTTCGCATTTATAATATTACTTTGGAATAGCTTCTGTCGCTCGGTTTCACTCCCTGCTCGGCTCCTACGGATCGTATCGCGATGTTTTATAGCCTAAAGCCTTCCTCAATAAATTGACTAACACACACAAAAATAATTATTCAATTCGGACCAGTAGTTTCGGAGATTAGCGCGTTCAAACAACCAAACAAACTATCATATAATTATCGCGTTAAACGCTTTTAAAAGTGGTCGCCAGTCAATAGTAAGCAGTTGTAAAACTGTAGTTAATCTTAAGGTTAACTGGTAAAGATCTTCCTGCAATAAGAACCTTGGTCATGTCGCACAGTTAAGTGCTAACCGAAGGTTAAACTCATGTGTAACTCACATTTAAATAAACTCGTATAGGTAATTGTCGTTTTTTTGTGAGGAGGGTCATGTTACTTCCCTTGACCAGGGAGGGACGGGAGGGAGAAGGCGTTTGAAGATTATCATTCCCTCAAAAATAGTCCTTTGCCACTTTCTTCTCACTTCTGATCATTATAAACAAAGGCATCTTCTTTCACGGAAAAGGTATGGCCATTAATCACCACGCTTGCTCAAGGATGCGCGATTTCAGACTTAAAGCCATTGACTGCCAACAGATTGCTGTTGAGGGTAAATCCTCCGCTAGCGTGGCTCAGATGTTGTCCCCCATGGCATTCAACGGGTTAATTAGAAGCTTGGCTCTGCCATACTTTTTTTTTGTCAGGGGAAAATCATCGAATGATTTCTCCCGCCCAGGGTAAGGCGAGAGAGAATGTCAGACTGTTACTGACTAAAAACCTCCCTCGTTCCTTCTCCTGCTCAAGGCCGAGGCCGCGGTGCCTTAGGACGCTTGCCTCGCAGCCTCGGCTGAACATCAGCCCTATAGGGCCTCGTCCCACACTTAAAAGTGAGGATGCTTTGACTTCAGCGTTTCAGTGTTTTCATGGTATCTAGTATAATTCCTGGTGCACAGGAGTTTTGCTCTGATGTTGATCTTTTTATTATATACGCGTAGCAGCGCGACAGTCGCCGCGTTGCGTGTTGCGTAATGCTGATCATGAATATGGGCCTCTAGCATGGCTTGAAACTAGTCGAGTATTTCGTCAAATTATTTTGGAGTAAGCCGAAAACATAATAATTGATGGTGGTCTTATCCCAAAAAGGTCTTTAAGCCTTTGATTGCCGACGAAAAAGGCCTGGTGAAAGCAAATCTTCCGCTACCGTTAGGTCACCGGTGACCTCCGTAGCGCTTAACGTGTTATAACATTTTCTTAATATCTTTCTTTTTTTTTTCCAGAGTGCGACATCACAATCGAAACACGCGGCGCGTTTCCTCCGACTTGCCATGGCCTCCATCATGGACATCCTCAAAATCAAGCCTTTCGTTGAAGTATCCGTCGGTCAACTGCTGTGGGGTTACGAGGATCCTCTACTGAAGCTGGCCAAGGATGTTGTGCCTAAGGAACAGAAGCTGCCTTACGAAGAATTTGGGCTGTTTTATGGTGTAAGTACCTTTTTATCTCTATGCGTCTCTTTGTTGGTTAAATTCAATGTCAAAGTCAGTATCATTTATTTGAATAAGACCCTTACAGGCACTTTAGAAAGAAGGTCCAACAAAACTAGCTTCCGCCGGTGGCTTCGCAGTCTATAAAAGTTATGTGCCCCGGGAGTTTTATAAACAGCTGCGTTTAAAGCGATAGCGACTAAAATATGCAAATCTAGCATAATTTATAGCTTGTCTATCAGTGCAAGAATTTTGAGAATTCGACCAGGCATCGCAGCGGTTCCGAAGATTACTCCCAATACACACTCATAAATTTTACTTTGAGTCATAATTTTGTAACTACGTTTCCATTCACGGGACTACAGGGCCCGGGTCCTTTGAAAGGCCTATGAGGGACCGAAGCCAACTCGCTGAGGCCCGTTGATTGTGTTGTGTGGCAAATTATATGCTATGCTACAGCACGGTTGGCGCAGTGGCTGGGCAACTGGCTGCTGTGCAAAGTGTCGCGGATCCACAAATTGTTGTTTCGTGTCGGGGTGTGATGTGTATGTGAATTTGTATGTTTGTAAACGCACCCACGACACAGGAGAAAATTCTAAAGTGGGGCGACGTTTCTATCAAACTATTAAAATAATATGGCCCCTACCCCAGACCAATATTGATACATAAGGGCAATGATATTATAAGTAAAAAGGTGTAGATAGGTCATAAGCGCTCAGCAAGTGATACATTAAAATGTGGCTAACTAGTTACACTTTTTTCATATTTTGTCTCTTTTTCACTCGCGATTATTGAATCATGCCATCCCACTTTAACGTGTATTTATTGATGTGTGCATAAGCGTTCCGTTTTTGAAAATCGAATGTTGTTTATGTAACCTATCTATACCATTTTACTTATAATATCATGGCATAAGGGTATCATAATTATTATCAATAAATTTTCTCCTATCCGCAGAAAAACGGCACCAGTCCTGATGTGGTCACAATGTTTTCCGGCGCAAACGATATGACCACTTACGGTATTATCAGCCACTACAACATGAGAGAGAAGCTCCAACACTGGACCAGTGACCAGTGCAACAGCATCGCAGGGTCTGATGGCTCCATCTTCCCCCCTCACATCACCAAGAATGATACCCTCGCTGTTTACGACAAAGATCTTTGCCGATTGCTGCCTCTGAAGTAAGTTTTTGTCTCATTTGGAATTTGTGTGTCGGTTTTTTAAAGCTCTGGTTCGGGCCTGGCGGTGGCCTGTAGGTTAAGGCGCCCGCTGCATTTGGTTCTCGCCCTCTTCTTTTCGAGACCAAGTACCAATGTGACTTTTTACGAATTATATGCAATTTCTATGATTATTTAGACACCACTGATATACGGTGAAGGAAAACATCGTGAGGAAACCTGGTCTTATAATTTTCTAAGCATAAGTTTGAAATCGCCAAACCGACTTAAGCAAGCGTAGTGGTTAATGCTCCAACCTTCTACGTTTGAGAAGAGGCCTTTGCTCAGCTGTGGGCACTTATAGGCTGATGATGTGAAGATGATTTTGAAAAGTGTAATCTTGCTACTAAATATTAACTAACGTTTTGACTGCACGGTTGGTGCGGTGGCTGGGCAACTGGCTGCCGTGCAACGTGTCGCGGGTTCGATTCCCGCTCGGAACAACACTTTGTGTGATCCACAAATTGTTGTCCCGGGTCTAGGTGTCATGTGTATGTGACATTGTATGTTTGTAAACGCACCCACAACACAGAAGAAAATAATAAAGTGGGGCAAAGTTAAAAAAAAATTGAGTCAGATATTTTCAACACATTGAGCTGTAATTCTGTATGCCCGTTTAGTTTGCAGTACAATAAATGCTGAGCTGTATGACGGCACTTTAAATACGCATAAATGTCTCATAAGTGTTTAGTACTAGGATTTATTGACCCCCCCTGATAAACTCTAGTTCTTAAAAAGCTTATATTTTTTAAATTCAACTGTCATTTGCTAAAACAAAGATGGCGCTCGATAGATCGTTCAAAAGTCAAAAATCATTTATTTCAATTAGACCACAGTAGGCACTTTTGAACGTCAAGCAAGCAAAAAAGGAAAAAAGTATATAACATGAGCTTTAAAATTAAGCGTGTCAGTCTGTCCGTCTGTCCTCTAGTGAAGCTATTTGCTCGTTCCAAAGTGTAGATTCCTATGGAGAAGAACGAGCAAGAAACTCCATGGTTACTCTTTTTCAATCAGTTTTACAATACATTTCTTTGTTACATCATTTAGTCGGTTCTGATATGTGAGAACAATGTAACACTAATGTTCAGGCAAAAAGTACGAAAAAGAAGTGAACCTCAAGGACAACATAATTAGACAGCTTGGAGCTGACCAGTCCCCAATAGGCGGCGCCCGTTCACGAACATGACACGTACACCAGCACCGTTGGCCGTCCTATTACTTAAAAAAATGATTGACATTGAACTGTCTACAGAAATGTATGTCATAATATTCAAGCGATTGGTATTATGCAATGGTTAGTCTTATACCAATTATTATGATAGTGTATTATAATAGCCGTCACATGCGATTATTATGAATATTAGCTGCCCTATTTGCCCGCGACTCCGTTCGCGTGGTTTAGTGACTTCATGCAGATTTTTGGTATAAGAACTATCCTATGTCCTTTACCAAATTTCACAGAAATCAGTTCATTAGTTTAGGCGTGAAGAAAAGACAGACAGACAGACAGAGTTACTTTCGCATTTATAATATTAGTTTGGGCAAGTTCCTTTTGTATCTTATTTTCTTTGCTCCTGATAATAACTCGGGCAAGTAGAAACCACCAGTTGTTTGCCATACCATCCTGCAGAACGCACTATGACACTTTTAAACAATTCCCTCAAACCCCCTATCCTTTAATCCCTAATAATCCACAAGAGGCCGACAACGCACTTGTAGTAACTCCTTTAGTATGACGAGTGGCCTTGAACGTCGCTGATTGCTTACCACCAGGTAATCAGTCTGCTCGTTTGCCGACCATTAACAAAAAAATGACTCTCACAGACCAAAATTGGATTCCCTCGAACTCTTCATGATAGTGATGATGATGATGCTGGTGATGATGGATTAACAGTATTTCTTACAAATCATTTTAATATTTTTCAGATTCTTGGAAGAAGTATCATTGGACGGTATCCAGGCGTACAGGTACACTCCTCCTGAAGATGTCTTCGCTAATGATGAGCACAACCGTTGCTTCTGCCCGGCTGGACCTCCGTGCGCGCCTAACGGACTCTTCAACGTATCACTTTGCCAATATGGTAAGTCTTTCATCAACATCATAATTGCCACTACCATAGTCAGCTAGTCTCAGCTCGCCTCAAAAAGCTACTAGACCACCACAAATGGGACCTAACAGGGCTGTTAAGACAAGCACAAGGACCTCGCGGCCTCGGCTCAAAGCAGGAGAAGGTACGGGGTGGGTTTTAGTCAGTAAGAGTCTGACACTCCTTCTGGACTCATGTGATTTTCCACCTCAAAAAAACAGTATAGTAGTTAAATCATCTTCATCATTATTTTTTCCAGTATAGTCGTTGCTGATCATTTTTCATTGTATTTGCTGCCTGATTATAAAATTACCGATCTATTTGTAAGACGTTTTTAGGTTTAAAATCTACTCCCTAGCCATTTTCAAAATGAGACATAATATTGCCCTAGTACATCAAAATATATGTCATATTACTTGTTTACTTCCAGACTCGCCCATCATGCTATCGTTCCCTCACTTCTATCTGGCTGAACCCAGCCTCCGTGAGGCAGTTGAAGGTATCAGCCCACCAATCCCAGAGAAACACAGACTTTTCATTGACGTTCAACCGGTAAGTACTTTTCGAATTAAGTATCTAAATCTTCTGTAAACATGGATGGACTTAAAACACTTCCCTGTGGTACTCCTGTATAATTAGCTTTTGACACTATAACAGCGCTTTGCTACAACGCTCTGAAACTTTTAAATTAATAAAAAAAATTATGTTTATAGTTACGAAAAACAATTGAGTTGGTGCCTTTCTTAATGATACCATAATAAAATAGTTAAATATTCATATTGCAATAGTATAGAACGCTTTTGAAGAATCATAAAACTAACAATATTTAGCAATTTTGGACAACTTCTGCCTACAATTGTGTAATTAATTATTGCATTATCGTGGATTCGGTTCCCACACTAAGCAAGCAATTGTATGATAGGTATGCAGATAATATTTCCGGCTGTTAAGAATAGCCGGAATGTATAAAACATTTCTGAGATTTACGTATGACTGAAGGTTGTTTGACTGTATGGATATACGGTGGCTAGGTATTCAGTGTCAAAACAACTCTTTGTGTGATCCATAAGTTATTGTTCCGGATCTGAATTGGATGTGTATATTTTAAACACACTTACGACACCGGAAAAACTGCCAATGTTTGGACAAGATATTCAAAAATATTATATATTTTTATTAATTAGACCGGCAAACGAGCAGACGGATTACCTGATGGTAAGCAATCAGCGCCGCCCATTGACACCCGCAACGGAGGAGTTACGAGTGCGTTGCCGACCTCTTAGGGATAAGTGTTTTGGAGATTAAGGGATTGGGGGAGGGGAAGGATTGGTCCTCCGGTAACCTCACTCACACGGCGAAACACAACGCTGTGGTTGTTTCACGCCGGTTTTCTGTAAGGCCGTGGTATCACTCCGGTCGAGCCGACCCATTCGTGCCGAAGCAGTGCTTTCCCACACTTATCCCTATGTATGCTTAAATCTTTAAAACTGCGCAACGGAATTTCATGCGAATTTTTTTAACAGATATAATGATTGAAGAGGAAGGCTTGTATGTATAATAACATCCATTAAATAGTTAAGAAATTTAGTATCAGCGTTGCACCCGTGTAAAGCCGCGTGTCGCTAGTAAGAATATACATATACTGATGATAATATTTTCCATTTTCAGGAGATGGGTATCGCTATGAGAGCTCGCGCCCGTATCCAAATCAACTTGGCTGTGTCCCAAGTCGTTGACATCAAACAGGTCGCCAACTTCCCCGACATTGTGTTCCCCATTCTCTGGTTCGAAGAGGTAAGTTAACCTAAAATATTTAGCATCGTTTTCTTTTTCTTTTCCTTTTTAGTTAACTTATGGTAAAGACCACGCTCACATTTTGTTAGTCAAGTTATTTGGTTTAAAGTTTTTTGCAGATTTTTTTCATCATAGTTTTGAGTTTGTAAATGATTTCGATTAACTAAACTTAGATTAATATCTCTTAAAAGTAATTCTACATCATCTTGAACAAGTCTGTCTTACTTTTTTTCATAGTAGCTATCGTGAGACATGCTAAATGTTTTGTTTACTAGCTTTTGCCCGCGACTCCGTTCGCGTAGAATAGTGACTTTCGGCTGAATTTCGGTATAAAAACTATCCTACATCTTTTCTCGAGTTCCAACCTATGTCTGCACCAGATTACACAGAAATAGGTTTAGTAATTTAGGCGTGAAGAAAAGACAGACAGACAGAGTTACTTTCGTATTTATAATATTAATAAAGATAACGAGTTACGTGAATTCATTAAGAGAAGCTCGACTAGTTTCAAGTCGCAACGGGACTCTTATTCATGAGCAGCGTGCTCGTCGCGGCGACGTCGCGCACCCAACTGTCAGTTGGCTTTATCTTATGTTACTCAATAATATTTTTCGTGATCTTTCTTTCTTCAATTTTGACTTTATTTCTAAGATTCTCCCCTTCATCAATATACGTTTTATCTCCAGGGTATCGACGAGCTCCCTGAGCAGGTCCGCTCCCTCCTCCGCCTGGCGACTCAGGTCCCTCCTCTCGCCCGTAGCGCGCTGGGTTGGGGACTATCAGCCCTGGGTCTACTGCTCATCTTGCTTGCTGTCACCTGTCTTATCAGGTAACGTTTAACTTATTTATTTAAAGTTTACAATATAATCTTTATAGGTGTACACTCAATGCATGTCAAACATTTGAAAATAATTGAACATTTAACTACATTGTCAAAGAATGTAAAGAAACATGTTAAAAAGAAATCCAAATAGAAAAATTTTAATCACATATAAGAAATTGAAAAAGAGAATATATCTTATCTTATTATATATTTCGACTGCTTTTAGGATCAATGACGATTCGTTACAAGTTTGTCATGTTGCAAACGCATTTAGAAAATTAAAAAAGCGTCAATAAAAATCATAGTGTGATAAAAATCAAAGTATTTTATGAAAAAAAAAGGTGAAAACTGTATAGTTTATTAAAGTTCGTTGCACGTGCTAATCACCAAAAACTACTGGTTCAAAGTGATTTTTTTTGTTGTACCAATACCAAGTTAGGGTAGTCAACAAGTTCCGAACAAAATTCATACATTCATTGAGTATTAGCTTTCACCCGCGGCTTGGCTCGCGTTGTAAGCTGATAAAAAGTAGCCTATATGTTAATCCAGGGTATTACCTATCTACATACCAAATTGGTCCAACCACTTTTGCGTGAAGTAATAACAAACATACATCTATACATTTTCATAAACTTTCGCATTTATAAGATAGTAGGTAATTAAGCATTGCGCTACGACCAATACCTACTACCGAAGCACTGGGCGTTTTCAACCAGCCATATTAATACAACAATTTACCCATCCACAGATCTTCCCACCGCCAAAGTACGTTAAGGCTAGAAGGACACGTGGTAGCGAAGCCGCCGCCCGCCAAAACCCCAAGTAAAGACAACGGCTACGAACTAAACAGTAGAAGATAATCCTTATTGTAAGCAATCATTATATTTTACCTATTTTGTAATTATACAAGAATTTCTGATCAGCTCGGTAAACGTCACTAGTGTCAACTGTCAGATCTGACAGGTCAAACTGTCAACTGTCACCTGTCAATTGTGTGCAATGTCAAATTTGATGTTTATTTTTGTAATTATTGATCAATAGAATTGGTTGTTTCGTTGCATGAGTTGTATGTTTTTGGTGTTTAAATTTTTTTTGATTGATTTTTTCATGTGTTTATACATTTTTAGACTGGTTTTTTCTTAAGGTGCAGACAGTTATCGGCTTTTTAGAAATTCTCTTTAAAAGAAAACTGTCTTAAGACTAAGTTTAGTTTTATATTCGTGCCTAAAGACATTTTTGTCCTACCAGGAATCGAATCTCATATCAATCGATCTGATAAACAAAGCATTGTCTTTATATACGAGTATAGAAACATATAGCGAAAATACCTACTTACTTAGTTTTTATATTTAGATTTTATAATCTGTAGTCACAAAGTATTTTTAATCTATATTACAGAGTGTTGCCAGGCCAAAAACTATTTCAATATGGCGACTTCCGGTCTTAAGGCAGTTACATTTTTAATTACCATTCCTTGTATAGTTCTTGTAATGTTTTTCTTTGATATTGTAAATAATTTACATCCAAAAGTATAACACAGTTTATATTTTACACACATAATCTATTTCAAGACTTCTCTGTCGATTCCAAACTAGTTAAGAGAAGACAGATTCACATTTCTTTCATACCAATTACATGAGTTCGTGACATTATTGTTGAAATATAAATATTAATTTAATAAGTCCACCAACGGGGAATATGTTTGTTAATATGCCTTCAAAAAAAGGAGAGATTACTCAATTCTGTCTATTATAACAAGTCTTACAGTAAGAATAACGTATTTTAACCGTGTTGGAAAAAGTTCACCGCTATGTGAGCCACGCTATCATAACCATAACCTGTCGAGAAACAAAGACCTTAAATGTATTACCTTAATAGCTACTCTCGCGCGGTTTCATCCGCTGCTCGGCTCCATTTGATCGTAGCGCGGTGTTTTTAGCTATCTATCAGTGAAAAATTTTGGCCATCCGACCAGCGATTCCAAAGATTACCCCCTACATAAGCTTACAATATAATATAAGCTTAGATGATTATAATTATTTACAATATTAAAGATAATAATTCATCCTAAAAAAGACTATAACAAAATGGTATAGGTAATCAAATCTACATCGAATAGAAAATATTACTGTATAATTTAATTTTACGTACTTTTTTAATTTTTTCATATAGCAACACTGTTAGTAATGCAGACTACGCAGCTGCGATTTGAGCGCGCGATTTGACATTGACATTTTATTATCTGTTTTATTTTTTTATTGCTGTAAATATTTTTGTAATAACTTTTCTTGCTTTATATTATTTTTCGATGATTGGATTTGTCGGGCGTTTCATGATTGCGTGGTCTGCGCTCAAAAATATTTTTATTACCTAGTTTTTATAAAGCATTTGCGGTTTCTTTTATATACCACCTTATCGAATAAGTTTGACATTTGGAATTGAAGGCATAACAACTTATATTGACTCAATTTTTTAACGCAAAATTACAAACGCGAAAGTGTGTAAGTACGGATGGACGTTTGTTACTCTCTCACGTAAACACTACTGAACGGATCTGAATGTAATTTGGCACAGAGATAGATTATAGTCTGGAATAACATATAGGTTACTTTTTTATTGATCAACTATTGTCGTTATTTCAAATTAAACATCTGTATTCAGGTATGCCTTCTGTTCTTAATGTTAAAAAAAACTTTTATTTGACTAAATATTCAATTGTGATAAGCAATATTCCATTTATATTTTTTGTTTACATATTAATTAATTAAATAAATTAGTAAAATATTGAACAAAACATTGAATGTACTTATGACATATTTTTACAAATTGACATTTTTATAATTATTATTATTGAGAGAATTTTTTACATGTTTTGTTGACATTTGATTTTGACTGTATTTTTTTTAACTGTAAATATTCAAAGGTGTAGTTCGCTTAGGCTATGATTATAGGCTATAAAATAATTTGTAGACTTTTCCTAATTGTCTATATTTTTTCAACTATTCCTTTAGTAATTTCAATACTATTCTGACACTACTATTAAACTTTGTAATTTTTAGTATAATTGTCGAAAATTGTAAATGATCTGTAATTGACAGAAAAGGGCTATGAACCATTTATAGCCGTAATCATAGCCGATGGTAATCACATTTATATTTTATTTTTAATCCTCTGGGCGTCGGGTTGCCATTAGAAATGTTATTGTATCGGTTTTTAAAATAAGGCAGGTGTAATGTTTCAAGCTGCGAAATGATTGATACTTAACTATTAGAAATGTCGAAGCTGATATTTGTAAATTAATGTAATACCTAGTCATGTCAAACTATCCTAAATTGTCAACATTCTTCATTAAATATTCAATCTTATTAAGAGTTTGATAAAGATAAAAATGGGTTGGAGAACAAGGAAAGATTGATATGCCTGTCTCTATCTAATAGTCAAAGTATTGAGAAATTCGCAGTCTAAGGTAAAGAGCAAATATACTTTTTAATTAAAAAAAAACTAATTTACCGATAGTCGCTAGTCTATTACTCATGGGTCCGTCCAATAGTTTCTTAGTTTAGTATATTTTTTTACCAATTATTAAATTTTCTTAGTGTTGTTTTTTTATTATATACATAAAAGGAGCGGTTTCTATATATTTTTAAGGTATTTTTTTCTGAGTGAGCAAATTTTTATGTAATAATTTTGACAAAAAAATTGGCCAAGTTTTTGTAAAAACGTTCTTGGCCAAGAACAAGAAAAAATGAATTTAAAAAAAACGAACAAAACATTCCTTTATACTTGGCTTAATTGGCCAAGTCTATATTTGCGAGCTCAGATTTTTCGATTAGAAGAGAAGTCACGGAAATATTTTTGATATGACTATTTTGATTTGACAAAATGGCTGCTTTATAGTCGTGCTTTACTGAACAAGACGAAGCTTTGTTGAACCACTGTTGATTAAGTTTCTGACAGTTTGACTAACGGAGTATCCCTACATTGGTTTTGTTTGTTCCTCGTTATCATCAGCCTATAAGTATACACTAAACAAAGTCCTTTTCGCAAGGATTAAGTATTAAACAGTATTTTAGAAGTGGATTCACGCGAGATAATGTTATTTCTATTGTGTCTTATAAACTGACATTGAACTGGTGCTTCCTCGAAGCAACTTCTTCACGATGTTTTCCTTTATTGTATATTAGGGATAGCCAAAGCCACATTATCACTTGGCGTTCTAATGCAAGAGAGGCGGGAGGTTCAATTTATATCAATCATCAAATGACCTCTGCCGCCTAGGATGAGACAAGAGGGAGTGTCAGACTCTTACTGACCCTCCGTTTCTTCACCTGTTCTAGCCCAAAGCCCCGGCTAAGTCTCATAATTTAGTCAAAGTTAAACTATCAGAAACTTATTTAACAGTGGTAACTCAAGCTCTAACTTACTCTGACATTAGAATACATACATGATTTTACTATGCTACAAAGCTACGCTAAAGAAAATAGTAGTAAAGAGACGGGAACTGGTTGTAGTTAAATTGGGTGTTTCCTTCGATTGAAGAGATTTGAACAATTTTTCTGATGTATTCCACAATTCCTTATAACGGTATTTTCAAGTTCAGAAGAAACTTTTACTTAATAAAAATTAAAGAGATTTGATTTGTCTGTTGTTTAAAATGAAATTGGTATTGTTTTCAAAGTTACTTTTTTCTAAAACTAGTTTTCTTGGTTTATCGCAATTGACTTGCCCTGTATATTGTCGATTGACTAAATACACGCAAATCTACTCATTTTAAAAGGTAGACAAGCTTTGAAATACAGTATTTAAAGCCTTATCACAATAAAACATGACGATTAAAATTTAAGTTAATTGAAAAGCAATTGAAATTGACAAGAAATTATTTATGAAAGCAAATAACATTTTTACTAAAACTTGAAGTAGTGTGACCGTTTTTTATAAAGAAAATGTACCATTAATATATCTCAAATCACGGATAAATTATGTCGGAACGTAGTATTTCAATTGTTTTCCGAAAAAAAAATTGATACTAAGATGAAGTTATCATTTCATAGGGGTTTTTAAACTAAAATTAGTTATCAACTTGGCTTATAAAACTTACTATGATACTTTAATTATTATATCCTTAAAAACAAGTGCATTTTTAGTTTCCACATTTCTTCTGTTTTTCTTACTTAAATATTAAAGTGTGAATGAGGTGATATTTGGTGCTTAAAAATTGTATATCGTTAAGAAATTCATTGAGTTGTGGAAATAAAAATGTTATTTTTGGAAACTTGGCTTTTGCCACCCGACTATGACAAGCGGTGCCGCCATTAAAAAAGACTTAGAATTTGGCCAAGTATATTCTTATGTAAACTTGGCCAAATCAAGAATAAAACTTGGCTCAAAGGTGACTGGGATAATCGCCAAGTTAAAAAACCTTGGCCTATATTTTATAACTTTTACAACATATCTATTATTGTAATCTTGGCCAAATATAATAGCCAAGAAAATGTTAATTGTGTATATCTTGGCCAAGTTGAAATTGTTGGCCAAGTCAGCGATTTATTGCTCAAATTCAGTAATTTTTAGAACATCACTTAAATATATTTTTTTAATGTTAAAATTGTTCGTAATTTGTAAATAAAATGAAGGTGTAAGATACTTGTTGTTTGATTTTTTATATTACATTCATCGATTTTCATATTTTTAACAGCAAGCTTCAAGGACAGTTCATTGACAGACAGACAGATGTTATATTATTGAAATTGTAAAACAATTTTTTTAAAGAGTAACGATGGAGTTCCTTGCTCGTTCTTCTCCATTCGAATCTACAATTTGGAACGAGCACCTAGCTTCACTGACGAACAGACTGACAGACTACTATTATATTTTGACGTTTCAAAAGTACCTATTTATGGTTTAGTTGGAATAAATGATTTTGACTTTGACTATAATTCTAATCTTCTAATTTTAAGTGTGGGAGAGCCATGCTTCGGCACGAATGGGTCGGCTCGACCGGAGTGATACCACGGCCTCACAGAAGACCGGCGTGAAACAACCACAGCGTTATGTTTCGCCGTGTGACTGAGGTTACCGGAGGCCCAATCCTTCCCCGCAACCAATCCCTCCTCAATCCCTAAATCTCCAAATCCCTAATCCCTAAAAGGTCGGCAACGCACTCGTAACTCCTCCGTTGCGGGTGTCCATGGGCGGCGCTGATTGCTTACCATCTGGTAATCCGTCTGCTCGTTTGCCGACAAATTACATAAAAAAAAATCTTTTTAGATCTTTTTTTAATGTATCTATGTATGGTTCAGTTTGCATAAATTATTTTGACTTGGAATTAAAGTAAACATAGCTAAGTCTGGAGTGGCTTTTTCCAATTCCATTACATTTTTTTTATATATTGGATCCAGCACCCACCGACCCAATATAAATGGAGCGACATCCAATTATGGCAATTGGCATCTCTCCTATGTGCTCCTAATTTTTTTTACCTATGTGATTGGTTGGCAAACGAGTCCTCGGATTACCTGATGGTAAGCAATCAGTGCCGCCACCGCTGCATAACAAGGGCGTTGCTCTAGAGGATTATTAGGGACTAGCTACTCTCGCGC